TTCTCTAAAATAACCCCTACCCTAGAGCAATAGATGGAATTCTTGGGGTAGCTGCTAGGATAGATGCATAGAATCCGGATGCTGAGAATACGCGGTTAAGGTAGAAAATATCAAGTCAAATCATTGGTAAACAAGATAAGAAAAAATGTCTCCTCAAAGAAAAAGAAGCAAAAAAAAAAACAATTTCATTGCCTCCTCTTTATTTTATACACAATTATCAGTCTAGTTCGCCACAAGGGATGAAAGCAGGGAAGGCAGTTCGGTAGTTCTCCAACGGGCAAGTCAGTTCCAAGAATGAAAGGGAGTTTTCACTTTGAACATATAGGGAAAATACTGGCTTGTACTTGATTCGTTGAAACAAAGAAATTGGCCAGTCGATGACTTGGCTTTCAACTAATCTCTTTCTTTGCCTACGGGATGTGCACATGAAGAACTCTTATCTAAGTAGTATGCTTTCTAGTTCAAGTAGCAATTCATGTCTTTGCTTCTAAAGTAAGACGGGGCCTTTATCTCCTCCCTCCCGGTATCCCCATTAGTTAATATACAAAATTGGAAAAGAATTCCGGGTCATTCAGATTTCAGGTTCGGGTTCGGGATATAGATGGAATCGAGAGGGAAGAAAGAGTCCGGTTTCAGAGGCTTGATCAACTGTGTAATCATGGATCATCAAGAAATCCCTAAATGCTTCTTTATACTGTCGCCACGGAAAAGGTTCAGGTAGGGAGAACTCTTAGATTCTCAAGTTTTATAGAGTCTTTATTCAAATCCATCTCCACCTATGTTGTGTCCTTTCTCCCAAACCCCAAGCATTCCGGCATCTGTTATTCTTGGTCTCGCCCTGTGAAGAAAAGTCGGACATAGAATTGATAGGGAACCGTAGCCAAGTGGCTAAGGCATGAGTCTGCAAAACTTCTATTCGTTGGTTCGAATCCGACCGGTTCCTACAGCGCCATTCTATCAATCATTTTTTTACATGGTTAGTGGATAGAACAGGGACCCCCGGATCAAAGGTTCAAAGCCGATAATTCTTGGAGTGAGACTTTCTTTTTTCAAGCGGCTTGACACAATAGTTCTTTTTTTCCTCCGTCAGGTCTGCCCCTTCTTTCTATCCTTAATAAGAGTGTCATCCATAACTTACTTTTTTTATTTGCCATGCTTCTTGTTGAAAGGAGGAGGTATAAGGCCAAAAAGACTAGTGTGACATAATCTGCAAGTTCTCATTCGAGAATAGGATGTCGAATCGGATGGATGGGCTTAATATAACATATAGCTACATCACGCTCGAAAGTGAAAAAAGAACTCCTGGTTTCAGAAATATGCCATCTTTTCTCACTTCGATCGCCCTCACTGCCCTTGGTCTTATTGAAGACGCTCCTTTGTGTCCGACCTTCCCTTTTGGCGTCCCCCTTTCAATCACTTGATGCCCACTATCAATGAGTTATTTAAAACTTCATTATAAAGAGGGATCTTTTTTACTAGAAACTAAGGCTATTCAAAGCGTGGACTGAGTGGATAATTTTTATAGGAGCGGGACTATTCTTCGCATCGAAAAAATCTTTTGTTAATTGTTATTTCCACGGGTGTGGGTTCTAGGCAAGGAATACTCCATTTTCGGCTCGAGATAAGAAGTGAAATTTCAAAGAATAGAATGGCTTGAGTGAAAGCTGGAGTGGCACAAGACAGATTGAAAGCAAAGGGAAGGGTCAGCCAGCTTGCCCTGTCCTTCCTAACCTTCCGAGAGCTTTCCTGACTGGCATTTCAACTAGGCTTGACTAAAAGGGGTTGCCCGGTTCTGATCCTCTTTGTACTTGTCTCAAGCTATAAAAAAGGCAAAAAGGGGAACAGTGGTCTTCTGAATTTTTTTGAGCGAAGAACGGCGATTCCTCAAAAAGAACCTTCCTGACGAAGGTTTACTCAACAGCCGGTTTGAACACCCTTTCTGTTCTGCCCATTCACGGAGTTTCACTCGCTGCTGGAAAGGCGGAATCACAACATCCAAGCTTTTGTCTCTCAACTCGCCTCTGACTTTGAGCTTGGTCCCTTCCCTTTCCATCCTCCTATTTGTAGCTCCACCCGGCTTTTCAAGACCGGGGCTGGCGCGAGGCAGGAAGCTACGATGCCGCGTTACGATCTGGTGCGACGATTTCTGAGAATGCATTCGAACGATTGTCACTGATTTGATTGGACTTCGTATCTAAGGCACTTGTTCCACTCCAAAAACCAATGCCTTGCCACTTGGACTACATGCGCAATCTGAGATGTAAAACCACCTGACCTTTCTGAGTCGCTTACTTTAGCTTCCCCTCCCGCCGCCCATGGAAAAAAATTCCTTTATTAAGCTTCCATACTTGTACCCAAGTAAGCAAATAGGAATTACCATACTCTATCAAGTAAGTGAGTTTAAACTACCCCTTTCAAAAAAGAAAATTAAGCATCAAAGCCCACAAGTTCCTTGCCCTGTTCATCATATCATGAAAGAGCGCAGTCATGGCTCGCTGGTACGTCGCCCCGGCATTCTTTAGACCAAACGGCATCACCTTGTAACAGAACGTGCCCTCCTACCTAATATGGTGATAAACGCTGTTTTCTCTCGGTCTTCTTCGGCCATCTTGATCTGCTTATATCAAGAGAAAGCACCCATAAAGGACAGCATCCCGTGTCCAGCGGTGTTGTTCACCAGAACATCGATGTGAGGGAAAAGAAAATCATCTTTTTGGCTTGCCTTGTTTAGGCTTGGACTTACGGAACCTGCTTTCAAATTGAGGCGTCAAAGGTGAAGAAGTGTAATCATCCATCCTTAACTGGATGCCTTACCCTCCCGTGGGGTTATGGGAGCGGGCCTACTTTTTACTTTTTTTTTACTATGGAGCCGGGCGGCAAGCAAGTGAATGTGATCTTGCCCTCTATCAGCCGGTGTGTGTGAGCAAAGCTCACACCTTATAGCTTTACACTGTCGCCGGCTACTTTCGCTCCTCTACCGTATTCAAAGATTCATTCTTTGGAAGCTAGGCACGTGACTTGATAGCGCAGGCACAAGACAAACAAAGAATAGCAAGACCGCATATCAAAAGGTTTGGAACCCAAGCTGACTTTTTTTATGAAATAAAAAAGAAGAAGGCGCTGTAAGCGATAGTAGGTGTAGGTCTTTCTTTCTAGCCGGATTCATTAATGCAATGGAACTCCAGAACTTGAAGAACTGGCCTTGGAAGGAAATATTGATTCAAATCATAATGTTTTAGAAGCTGGCATTGCTAGTTGACTTTTCTTCAATGACAGCCAGCAGTTGCCGGACTAACCTTCCTTGCCTTCCGCCTAGCTGCCCTGTCTTAGCTAGCCCTTTCAGACTAGCAGACTTGCTTTCTTGTCCTCGGCCTTCAGACAGGATGCTCTAGTTGCTGCTGCTCTGTGGTTTTGTCATACAATAAGATAAAATTTGTTTGGACTCGTTAGGGTTGGTTCATTACCTTGAGTGAGGTCTAACGTGTACACCTCTTGTTGTGATTTTATCCACTGATGGGTCTTGCTCTAAGCCCACTATCTTAATAGGTTCCTCTTGTGTCGGGTTAAGGCTCCACCTCATGTTGGGTTAAGGGCTTAGTTGAACCCAATTTCTTCACTTGTAGTCTACGGCTTTGCTTGGCATTGGGCTTCGTTGCTTTCCTGGTCTTGGATTGAACCTAAACCAAAGTCTATTGGCTGAATTAGGAGAATGGAAACCTATTGGTTCTGCAGAGCTAAGCCGGTAAGCAAGAAAGGAAACTGACCGGGAAGTGCTATTCACTCTTCCTAAAAAGCTTTTTTGTCCTGGCATTCAAGACTGGCATGTACAGTGAGAAGTGCGCAAGACCGGAAAGACTGCTAACACCGGTTAGTTCTTTGCTCTCTGTCAATCAATATCAATAATGGAACTGGCTTGCTAACAGAATCTGTAACAGGATAGCTTTCAAAATATTACAAACTTGAAATAGCTTAACTGTCGCAATTAGCTTCCCTGACTTGCTTTGCTAGCTTCTACTTTAATGCAGAACTCCCAATAGCAGGAATTACACTCGATGGATTGGTGAAAGAACCCGGCTTTTTAGCTTGACCTTTACTCTTCACACGAAAGCTTTCGGGACGAAGTGACTCAAACAAAGCAAAGCGAAGAGGTTCTTTAGCGTAGGCTAGTCAATTTACTTGGAGTAGCTTTCCCGCTGCCCTCCCAGTTGAAGTCATAAGGTAAGCAAGCCTCTCTAGTGAGAGTTCTTACATTGAGAGTAAAATTACTCCTATGATAGTGCTAGGTCCTTTTATTCCTAATCCCTCTGTCGATAAGCTGCTAGGCAGCATCCCCGGAAGGACCTATGCGTGAAGGTAGTTTAGGAATGGGGTTGGGCAAGAAGCTCGATGCAGGGAGTCCCTATAATCTTTTAGATCGATCGGGGCTTTGCTTTGCTCCAACACTTAAGCTTTCACCCAAGGTATTTGGCTACTCAGCTTGAAGCAGGAACAGAGAGAAGGCTCCAATCCAGCGTTCTTTAGAAAGTTTGGGATATAATATAGGGTCAATAAGGATCATTTACCCCTGAAGAAGTTTCCTTTAACACTCAACGGTCAGTTTGTGTTGCAAGGAGATGAGGAACTTTACTACGAGTTCCCGGAACCATGGTGTGACCCACGGACCAAGGTTCGAAGACCTGGGTTGGAGATTTTCTTTGCTGAAGCAAGAGATCCGGAATTGATCAAGACCTGGTTTAAGGAAAAACGGGAAGTTCCCGCAGAAGACGAAGATTGGGTGAAGCACTTATGTTATGGTGTTCTCCGCAAGATGTTTCAGTTTTCCGATCCCGAAGAGCGAGGTTTCGATCCGACAGCCTTAATGATACCTCCCTCGGACCCCGTTTCCCATGATTGGAGCGTGGAGTGCAAGATGGATAACGGATCCTTGAATTTTTAATTATTCCTCGGAAACCGCCAAAAAATCTTTCCCACCTCTCTAAACCATTCCTTTAACTCATTCGATGGATACGATACCGATAAGTAAATCGTCATCCAGCCTCTCCTCATTGCATACTGAATCCGATATCTCTGATTCAGAAACTTCCAATCCTGATCTAACACCAGAACCTATTTTCATTCAAAACATTGAACCTGAACATTCTGCATTATCTGATGATGAATTGTCTGATGCACCTAGGACATGCATGTCTCCAGTAGAAGAGTCAGTCATTGTAAATATAGAGTCAGATAGTGATGTAAAAAAAGTCCATGTAGGGTCCTCATTGTCTCATGATGAACAGTCCTCATTCATTGCATTACTGAAAGAGTATGTAGATAGCTATGTCCAGAATTTCTACTACACTCAACAGGCAGCCAGTCTTCTTCTCACATCCCATATTACATAAGGTCAATCAATAGAAGAAAGCTGATATGATATAAGGCAGAGGACGGTGACGGTAAGAGTGATGATACCTAAAACTAGGCGAACTTACTTCGGAAACTTAAACGAATCAATTCCCACTTGATCCATTCTTCTGACTGCGCTAGCATCATCGGATACGGCAACAGAGATTCTTCCAACTTCGCTCTTAGAGGCGGGCTTGTAGACTATTGAATTCAAAATCATCATCATCGCCTTTTTTATTTCATTCGTATTTCGAGGTTTTACGCTTAATGGTTAAAAGGTGTAAAAGTAATGGGTGCGGGAGCGGCTATTGGTATTGAAACTCTTTACTGGTATGGTCGAACGACCCGCAGATGTAGGGATGAGTTGTCACCCGAACTGCGTAACCAAAGCGATCCCTTGTTGGCGTAAGGTAGGTGTAGGTCCGATTCACCTATGTCTGTTCGAACCAGACGGATCGTTCGTTCGTGATGCTATTCAGGATGGTACTATTCTTCCTTCTTATGTTCCTACAGAGGTGCAATTGGTGGATATCTTCACCAAACCGTACCCTTTAGAGAAAGAAGCGGGTCTCTGATAGTAGCCCTATCAACTAGTTATTTCTCTAGAATCTGCTATAGGATGTCTCGTTTCTGTATCTAACAGATAGGACAATATCAGTGGGATAGGTTATAGCATAACCAGCGAAGCCATACTCTGGTTGTACGAAATTAATGCTTCAACGCGGATTTCCTCTCATAACCAGGGTAGATATAGTAGAAATGGCTTCTATTCTTACTGATACCCTTGAGATCTTGCGATAGCTATCCTACACAATGATCATATCAGATCTATTGTTAGACTACGCAAAATTGAAGAGGGATGATAGTCCAGGGTAGAGACACAACAATAGTTGGAAAATCAAACCCACTTATAGCAGAATTTTTTAATTGAAAAAAAAAATGGAATGAATATAGAGCGCGTGTTGGTAAAGAACACACCGAAAATAGCTTGAAGGACTTACAAAATGAGATAGAAAATCTTTGTTTATCATACGAAGAGAAATCTGTCTATCAATGTCAGCCTGGGCTGATGAAGATGTTCATTAACAGCGAATTACCTAGTGCTAAAGAGTATCTTCAAGGTAAATTTAAAGTGGATAAGAGTAGTGATACACCTTCAAGGATTAAGATCATCCCTAAATCAAATGATGATAATGCAAATGATGATAATGCAAAAGGTTATAAGAATATACTTTCTCCTGAAGATATGGAGATGCTTTCTGTTTTTGGACCTTATACCATTGAATGGATTTTAATTAATGTTTTAAGTAGTTTGTTCAACATTGAAAGTAGTGTAAGGTGTGCTAGTGTTATCGAAAGGATTGAATCTCTGGTTCGTCATAACGGTAATAAAATGATGGAAAAAGCTGCCAATAAAAAGAAATCAAAAAATCTTATAAGTTATCCTTTTGGTACTGCTTTGATCGAATTTTTGATTGAACGAGGTCTGATAGACCTTAAGGTTTTGGATACTTCAGTTGAAAATAATACCGATGTAAAAGTTATCACTATCGTTCCAGCGGTGTCTACGTTGAGTGTAAATTCGACACTTCTCTTCTTCCAATAAAACTCCATCTACCAATGGTGTATAAGCCCAAACAATGGGGAATTGTTGAATCAAAAAGCGATAATTCCCGATTATTGAGCATATTTTGTTTATCGGGTGGGTACTTAAATAGTACAGAAACGAATGAGGGGTACAATCTTTTATCATCGGGGGACTTATCGAATTTCTTTCTTTTTTTTGGTAATAAAAATGACAAAAACACCCATTCCAAGGCTCATAACCTTTGCGAAGTTATGAATAAACTGCAAAATCAAAAATTTCTAATTAATGAAGACTATCTCAATTTTATTGAAAGAAACGATGATTTATTGGTTTCTCGTGGGTTTCTGATGCCGGAATTTCTTCTCAAAATTAATACCAATGAAATAATTGATAGAGTACGACGGGTGTACCTGGAAGAGAGTCAAAGTTTTCATAACTCTGTAAGCTTAGAAGCTGTCATGCAGATTTTGTATACTAACATCCAACGAGCTCGTTATGAGCGAACCATTCTAGAAATGGCCTCAGCCTACGCTGGTTATACATTTTATATACCGGCATTTCTTGACTTCCGTGGTCGAATCTATCGTAGTGGAATCTTGCATTTCCACGAGCGTGATCTCGCACGGAGTCTTATTCTCTTTGATGCTAAAGAATTTATAAATAATTCTCAGTTTGTACTAGCACCTCATGTAATACAGGAAATGCTTTATTATTATCGAGCTGCTGGTGGGTTCCATTATAAGTCTTTCTCGACAAACCCTATTGATTCGGCTAACATGTTTTTTACAGATGTAGAAAAATGTGTTATTGAGGAGGTGGGTGATATTCAAAAAGACTCTTGTAGAGAGGATGGTTTTTGTTATGATTCTGCTATTGTTATCACAAGCGCTAAAGCTAAAAACCCTTTTCAGTGGATGATGTTTTTGTGGGGTATTTTTAATAAATCAGAAGATTCGAATTTTATATGCGGAGTGCCTATTACCCAAGATGCTTCGGCTAGTGCCTACCAAATAATGGCTTATTTGCTGTTGAATGAACCTATGGCTAAAAGAACGAATCTTATAACCAACTCTGAGAAGCCAGACTCCATAGCTGATGTTTATTCTGTTATTATGGATGATTTAAAGTCCTTCCTTAATAAGGAAGATCTTCCCGATTCCGTCAAAGAATTATACAATGAGTATATTGATCGCAAATTGGTAAAAAGTATTTTTATGCCTATTATCTACGGAAAGACTGAAATGAGTACGGCGGGTAATATTAAAGCGGCGTTGAAGCCGTACTTTTATCCCGCTTACAAAGAAAGCGCTGTGTTGGCCTCCCTCTGCTTCAAGTTTTTGAGGGAATATTACAAGGAAATGGATCATTTGATCCGTTTGATTCGCCTTATAGGTTGGTTTGCTTCTACCTGCGATAGCAATGTTGTCTACGATACTCAATTCTTTTCCACCTGCCAGGATTTTTTGGTTAAGGATTCCCATATCATTTGGGTTTATGACAAAATAAGAAAGAAGAAACGTATGGTTACTCTTAGACTCTCTTCTGACAAGAGAGATCGTAAGAAGACTGAAGTGTCTACTTTCATGAATTTCATCCATCAAAAAGATGCTTTAATAGCTATGAAGGTGGTTTTAAATATGCAAGGTCTAAATGCTCCTATTTACACCGTACATTAGAATTTTATTAGTAATGTCTACTTTTGCCAACTCTTACCGCGAATATACCAGACTGTATTTACAAGCCTGGGTCCACCCCTGAGATTCATTAATAATTTTTTTAATTCTAATATTATTAGACTCGCTTTACAGAATGGTCTTGATAAAAACAAACTTGGGGTGAATATCGAACAATTCCCCTATATAGTTTTAACTGAAGAGTGTATAGATACTTTATTTAATTGTATTTTACCTGAAACCTTTAAAAACAAGAAACAGAAGCTTAAAGTGTGGAATGCCAACGTCTCTCGTTTTAAAACGTACTACTTTGGCTATGTGCGCACTGTGTGCTGTGAGGATCCAAGGAGTGGCTCTGTGGATATGAAATGGGATAATCATGAGATTAAATGGGAGCAATTTATGAGTAAGATCGACGGGCAGTATTGTGTGCATTATTAATGAGTATGATTATACCTGTGGGCTTCCAACAGCGGCAAAAGGATTGTTTGTCGTTGTTGATGACGCGGATAGAGAAATCCGCGGTTCGCAATCCACATCCTGGTTTGATCATTTCTCGTCATTCATTCCGTTCTCCTTTCCCCACTTTTGGGGAGGTTGGTTTTATTACATTGTGTATTATGGATTTGCTTATACTGTGTACTTATCCTTCCATTGGATCTTACGCAAAATTCACTACCATTGTGAATATGAAGATATGGCGCGGTGATGAGATTGGATTTGCACTTGGAAGGGCAATCCCTTTAACCTACGATGATGGGAGCCTTATTCCTATGGGATATGTATATTCACGTATTCTTAGTATGGTTCAACTTAATTGCGAGAAGTATGAATCGGGTGTAGTGACTGGCGTCACCCTTCGAACCTTTGTGGAAGGGAAAGTATAAAATAAGAACCTCAGAAATAGAAAGAAAAGCCTCAAAATCCGGAGTTTCATACACAGTAACAGGAGCTCCATTAATTATATCTTCAGTAGCTAAAATAGTATTGAAATCCCCCACCCAAGGGGAGAGAGTAACTGCCACATTCAAAAAATCCCTCCATAGAGCTCTCCTAGTCTCAATTGTATGCAGTCCATAAACAACAGTGAGATGAATAGAATTGCTCCTTTTCTTATCAACAACCAAAGAGTGAATGAACTGCTCATTCACTTGTAAGACAGACACATTCACCAACTCATCTATCCACCCTAACCAACCTTTGGAAGAATAGTCATAATTACATTGCCAGTGCCACCTTGTACCAAACTTCTTTTGGATAGCCTGCATCTTTTGAGGTTTTACTTTAGTTTCAAGAATACTGACTATACTAATAGTTTGCTGCTTACACAACCTCTTCACTTCTGCCACTTTATTGGGGTCCCTAATGTGAAAGGATATTCATGTGGGATTATGAGTAACACCAACCTCATCCTCCCCCTCCTCTTCCTCGTTAGTGTCCTACTCAATAAGAGCCATGTAAGAGTTAGCTTGATTCACAGAGACAGACTGAAGTTGCTTCCCCTTATCTCTCACTGGCCTTGATACAGTCCTCCAACCATCTGCTCCCCAGTAACAGTGTTGATAGCAGGAGTGGAAACCACAGCAGGTTCCACTCTTTGTTCAACTGCAGGAGTAGAAGTAGTATCAACAGAGCTCCCCCTAGCATCACCTTCTATAACTGGATCAACATTCTGAACATCATTACCCTTCTCTATATGAGGTTGAACTGCCTTAGGAACCCATTTCCTTTTTCTGCTTCTTTGAACCGGCCTTACAGTTATGATCTACCTTCTTACATGCCTGACAATAAGGAGGGGCCCACTCATAGTGCACTTGCTGTTCAACCACCTTACCATCAGCATCCTGAATGAACACAGATTTTTGCAATTCCTGTGTCACATCAACCTCAATAAGCAACCTTGCAAAAGGCACCCTCATTTGCCTGGAAGTGCATGCATCAGCATACAAAGGCACCCCTACAATACTTCCAATCCTACTTAGGGAATCAGGACTCCAACAATTCAAAAGAAGGTAGGGAATCTAACCCAAAGAGGGACAGTTTTCAAAACCTCAACATGAAAGTCAAAGCCAGCAGTCCAAGGCTTCACAACAGTAGGTCTCCCAAGATACATATGAGGCCAGAAGCATAGCGTTTTTATCAACTTCACTAGCAACCATCATCATGAAGAAATGTATCAGGTTTAGCAACATGATTCCATTGTTCAGCTTATTCAAAGCAGTCAATGTAGGTTGAAAACCAATAAGAATATGATAGCAGAATTCCATTTTTCACTACCTTTAGCAATAAATAAGAGCTAGGTAATACCGGGAGACACAAGGGCTTAGGGCTGCTGAATAATGGCGTTAGACACAGTTAGAAGTGCCGGATCTAAATGAGCAACCGTTTTACCATCAACAATCTTAGCAGCAACAAATCCCAAAGAAACACCCTTAGCAGTCAAACTACCCTTAAACAGATTAGACCAAGCACCAGTACCATTACCTGAGTCCGGTGGCTTATTAGGAGGAATTGACTGATTAATCCCTTCCGTGGGGGGTTGCTGTTGTGCAGAAGCTACTTCAGGTGCAAGAGAAGGCACTGCAATCCTCTGAGGAGTAGCAACTGGAGTCACAGAGACCCTAGGAGCAGGGGTTACTGTTCGATTGGATTTCTCATGAACACCTTGCCATAGCTGTCGAGTTGACTCACGAATCTGATCAAGCTGGGATGCATTTCCACCATTAACATTGCTACTTGAAGGGAGAGGTTATAGAATACGCTCGGAGAGGAGTAGAATTCCTCTTCTTCCTGGCCATGGTGAAGATGAGAGCTGGAGAAGACCACAGCTAACTCAAAATCGCCATGCTAGAGAGAAAGTCAACGAAAGTCAAACCCTGTTTCTCTGAGCTCTCTTACTTGTTATATGTTTTCATTACTCACACCTTTCTCCATAGGCTTTTCCTTTCCAAAAGGTCATTAGAAGCATACACAAAGGAACAGTCAAAGGTCTTTCTCAAAGCCAAATGAGTGACCTTAGTATGAATGACATGCATGTGTCTCACATCCACCTGGAAGCAGTTAGGAAGCCAAACTACCAATTTCAAAATTAAGAAATTTGTAGCTCCCTTGAAAGATGTTATTAGAAACTTCAGGGAACTTATTGACTTTCATTTTTGTCTCAACCATAGATCTCTTTCAGAATGGATCTCCTCATCATGAGAGACCTCTGGAGTTTTGACAAGAACCTCAGGTTGTTTAACCTTGGGTTTCCAGACTTGCTACTGAGATTGCTTCTTTTTGCATTGCTTCTCAACATGTCCCAACAATCCCCAGGCATTATGGCTTCTACTCATAGACCACTTCTTGTTCCAACATGACACCATTTTCAGACATTTTCCAAACTTTCCCATCTCCATTAATGTTCATTTCGACAAGGAGTAGGAGTAGCGGGCGCCAGCTCCCACTCTAGAATCGCCGGGAAATTGAAGTCTGGCAGTGGGGGGCGGGAGGGCCCTGGTTCACTCTCCGGGTAGCCTCCACATCATGCTAGCTGGACCTACCGCTAGCACTATAAATACGAGTGCTACTAAGAGCACCCAAGCCTTTTCTTACCACTGGCCCTTCATCTTTCTGGATCTGGATTTTATGCGTCGTGGGGAAGCTAGTTCCTATTATAGAAAGGAGCTCTTTCCTTTAATATATATATTAGATAGAAGGGTACCTTTATTCATAATAAATTAAGGAGAAAGAAATACCTAATAAAAGATATAAGAACCCGTGTTAGATCTTCTTTATGTTTTTATGTCTTTTTGAAATTACATAGATGACCACAGAAACACGTCGGGTTTCCCCTGAAGCTGAGATAGGTCTGTAGTGGACAATAAGTCGCGTAGGCTGAGAAATGCGCCAAACCCGGGGGCTTCAGGTTGGTGCGGAAAAGGGCGATCGGAATACGCACGTCACCTCCCATTGATTGGGGGCGATACGAGGCACCACTCTTGTAATGGCCTCCGCCTGATCGCGGTATCCATGTATATCCGAAGGCTGTGGTTGCATTTTGAATCTGGGTAAGTAGGCTAGTTGTAAAGGACTCAATGGGAAACCAAAAAGGCTGACAATCTTTGGTCCTCGAGCGGTTACCGTCTGAGAATGAGACGGGAAACTTGACCTATATGCCCGGAGGAGGAGTGCGTGAATGTGTTCATTTTCTATATGTATATTAAGTTTTTTTCATATAGGAATAAACGTCCTTTGGACCTTAAAAGGCGTAGGGATGGGGCTTACAGGATTCCATTTGCGAAATAGGGCGGGCTAGGCTGTAGAGGACATCTTCTAGTAAGAGTCCGTCTTCCCATGCCTTTCGGAAGTTCTTTTTCCGGTAGTGTGAAAGTTAGAGGTAGGAGGGAGCTATAAAGGCTTGACTGTCCTGAGTCCTTGGCCCTCATTCGGGAAGATAGAATCTTCCGGGTACTCATTCTGTAGTTGAGAGTTTACACGAGTTGAAAGGAAATCTCCTCATAAGGAAGGAAGTCTTTTCTTACTATTAGTTCTTACAGACAGGTTAAAGACAAAGAAGAACACGCACGCCTGCTGAAAGAACTAGTCTGTCTTTAAGACTGCCTTACGGTAGGGTGAAGTTCCTATCTATCGGGCTATGAAAAGCATCTGTGCTAGTGCTGTACTGGTATGAAAGTAGCCTCCTCTAGTGCTTTAAGGAACTATGGGTACAGTCGGAATACTCCTACTAGTGGTTGAAGCAAGGCCAGTTTGACGGCAGGCAGAAGAAAAGCCCTAACACATTAAGCACACTCTTATCCGCTTTGTTTTGTGCAATTGAAGACGAATCGCTTACTCCTTTTGTTGAATGAAAGTTGATTGATCTTTCATTCTTTCTTCGAAGTGAGGCCTCTTTTCTTCGAGTACTTTCTTATATCACTATAAGCAAATAGAAATAAACTGATGTTTGGGGATCTAATATTCTTTTTACAAGCGTAAATCTAAAGATCAGGGTACAATGCTAGGGGACACCAAAGAAGTCGCTGCAATGCCCCTAACTCCTTTAACGGCGCACAAGCAAGCTTTAAAGAAAAAGACGAAGCTTGCCTTTCTTACAAGTGTAAACACCATAAGGGAGAAATGCTACTTACCCAGCCCAAGTACGTAGCGAGTAACCCCTCATGCAGTAAAGTAATGAGTTCGGAACAAAATCTACTATTTCAAATCTAAATGTGGTTGGGCTTTAGGGCTAAAGCTATGCTTTTGGAAATGAAGTTTTTTAAGGCAAAGCGGGAATCATTAAATCGATTTCCGAAGCCCCCGAAATATAGCATTCGAGAACGCGTTAATACGACAAGATGAGATAATGGAGAAAATGGCGAACATTATATTATAAAGGTGAAAGGGATCCACTCGGGATAAAAAGGGGGGTGAACCCCTTTCTCCTTCTCCATGACATAATG